ATGAGGGATGTTTAGAAACAACAAAGATTTGATCTTAAAAAAAAATCAGGATGTATGTGCTCCCCGTCTCCTCATAAAATGTGAAATAAAACCAGATTTGCCACAGCCTCTCCCCACCTCCCAACAATCTGAGTAGGACCATTTACTATCTCCACATGAAAAAACATTCAAAAGTTGCTAAATGTAATAAACCCGATGTATGATCCGGATTCAGAGGAAGCAAAATCATCTTTAAGGAAACTAATTTTATTCTTCTGTGTCATGGGATTCTTTCTCCTATGGACTGGTAGCTGTTGGGAAGCGGGAAGCAGCAAGCAGTAAAGAATATACCCACGTTATGAATGCAGAAGAACCTTTCTGTCACTTTCACAGTTTTTTGCATTTTGCGCTGTTATGGTAGATCAGCTAGGCCATGATAGTTCTTTTTTCCATGTGAATGGCTACAGTTCCCATTGGGACCCTTGAGAAGAGCATACCTATTGAATTCTTCACTGCCCCACAACTCCAAAGAAGCTAATGCCAACCTGGCATTCCTAAGCTGACCACCTGCCCTGTACACGAGGTCACATCTGAGCTCCCCATTCATCCAGGCTGGTGTTGACCATGATGCAGAATCTTTAGCTCGGGGTTTGGAAAAGATGGGCACCACTATCGGTAGGCCCATATTCTGAGTTTGTTCGCTGCAGTGCCTGAAGGGGTAGAGGTGGAGCACTTCCAAAGAAAATCATACAATCAGCTGAAAGCCTTAGTGGCTAGCGTGCTGATGCCTAGGGAGTGCTAAAAGACTCCTTGCTGAAAGCTTCAATTTGTTTGAATTCCTCCTTGGTTAATAACACAAGGCCCAAACTAGTTCTGAATAGTCCCAATCCAGATGTAAGCATACCCAAACTGAAATGAAGGAGCTTTTCTGATTACTTATAATGACTCCATAAAGTTTCAGAGGTCGATGGGTTTATGGAGCATGGCAAGCTCTTATCTCATGGGACTGCATCTTCACCAGTAGATTATTCAGGTTGTGGTAGGTCTGAGAGCCCTCTTATCTCAGACAAGAGCCAGGATGGTCATCAATATCATGAACACTTGTGGAGCAGATTAAATCTAAAGAGCACTGCCTGGAACCAAAGATGGAAGCCCACAATCATAAAATGTGGGAACCTTTGGTGGTAGGGAGGTGTTAGAACATAAAGCTAAAAGTTTCATTTAAATGTATGGAGGTTAAGAAATGTTGGGGGGGGGGACTAGTTCTTGGCTCAGCAGAGCTAAAGCCTGAAATAAATTTTCACACACAGTGGTTGAAGGTGGACAGAAATAGAATGAGAGTTCCAGACCTTTTTAATCTTTGCAGAAGATCTAGTATGGAAACCAGAACTTTTTTACTGCAGGCCAACATTATTGCTTCTAAACAAAGTAGGACCCTGGTCTTTTCATATGGACTTGGGGCAGATAAGACATTAAAAAAAACGAAGAAGATATTTAAAGCCTGTGAGGTCTTGCGTGAACATTTCAAGATCAATTTTTTAGAAGTGGTACTAGCCAGTGTTAGAAGAAATAAGGAATGGGAGCCATTTGATGAGGAGGATGACTGTACCCTGATCAACTTCTGGAAAATATATTACTTAGGGATTCCTAACTTACCTCAGTGTACTTCCCTGAAGAGACGTGAGCAGGAGGAAGAAAAAAACTTGGCAAAAACTCCTGAGGAAAGGAGCCCTCAGAGACACCTGCTGGAGAGATCTCTGGTTCAGTACTCAAAGGCAGAAGATTGAGGAGTGGCTCATTAAGTCAGTCTGTAGCATGTTCTAACAGTAAAACTATAATGTATGGAGCGAGAAAGCAGAAAAGTACATATTTTCTGCCTTTGGATCTGGCAAAAGCAGGGGAGGGGGGGGAACCCCCAACATTTCTAAGTTTAATGAAAGTGTGGATTCATACTACAGACAATCTTTTTCTTCCCTGCTGCTCAGACCAGTTACTTCTCTAGCTCCTTTCACTGGCTTCCTCTTATCTTTTGTTTTGGAGGTCAAGTTTCTCTGTCCTCCCCTTTAAAGATTAGCAAAATTCTTCTCCTATCTCAGTCTCTGATCACTCACCCCAAACGCACCATTCTCTTAGACCAGGTCTACACTAGCTTAAGGTATGCAACTCCAGTTACATAAAATACATAGCTGGAGTCTGCTTACCGTAAGATGAGCTTGGTGCCATCTTCACAGTGAGAGGGTGATGGGAGCAAACACTCCCGTCAGCTTCCCTTACTCCTCATGACTATGAGGAATATCAGCACTGACCGAAGCTGCCCTCAGTGTCCGATTTAGTGAGTCTCGACTAGACCCACAAAATCAAACACCAAACTGGTCTCCAGCATGGCAAGTTGAGATGTGGCCTTAGTGTCTGTCTTTCATGCACATGCCACCTATGCCCAGAACTCCCTTTTTATCCCACAAGGTGTGCACACTTTCCCTTTCCAAATCCCACCTCACAACTTGCTTCTCCATAAAGTCTGTAGTACTAATGCACATCAGTAAATATGCTAACACCCACCATTGAGACTAAACACAAAATCATTCAGTGACAGAACTTGCTTCTGAACTCCATCTCTCAGTACATTATTTTATATCGTCAATCTACTTAGACTAAGCGCCTACACACAGGATTTCCTTCTGTTTCTTATACAATATGTGTACAGTGAATACTTTGTCAACTCTTAAATAACTGGATGAGTTGCACCAAATTAGAAGTCCATAGTACAGTACCCTAACTGTGACAATATTGCAGATTCTAAACATGGTCCTTGTTCCATATAGGGCTCAGAGCAATATCATACTTGTGGGCTGAAAAACTGACATTTAAACTCGGGGCCATTCCATGATCATCTTGGAGATATTAGCACTAAAAGGTGCACAGAAGGAGGATGAGGAAGAACAGTTTTTAATGAGAGAAAGGAAGTATACAATAATACAGCTGATAGAAAGAAGTACACAGTATAAGACAAGTGTCTAATATATTAATAGAGAACTTCAGAAACAGAAAATTTCCAATGATTAAAGAAAGTGACTTGCTCAAAAGTTACAATCTTATGTCTTCATATATGTACATTCTTGGCAGTATAGGAAACAAGTACAGTTCTTACATAGAAAATAGTAATTGTCCAAAGTGGTGGTATCTCTTCCTTCCCAAAGAATATGTGCATTTAGTACATTATGAAGAATACACAGAGGCAGCTCAAAACTTTCAGAGAAGAAAAGAAAAACGTAAAGGACTTTTTCAGTAAACCGATGTCTCTCTAATAGCAGCAATTGGATCAGTTCTATATTCAAGATAAAAAGTATTGGAAATGGCAAGTGATAATAATACTTAGCTCTTACATAATGTTTTCATCACTAGAATAAGCAAGATTTGTGTACTATGCAACATATCAGAACTAAATTATACAACAAGACCTAACACAGCAGAAGATCCCTTCTACAAGCTTCCTTTCCCTAAGAGACCAAGCAATTTCCCCTTCATTAGTGTGCTGCCATAAACCAGCTTTAAGATTCCTATCTTCCCTGTGGACATCAGGCAGCAGCCAGGAATAAGTAGTGGGATATTTCTGATGAGTCAAACCTGGGTGGAAAAAGGCCCAGGAACGGGGCAGGCAATTGTTAACCAGAAACCCAGGTGAAAGATAAAAAGATGTCTGCCTTTTGGAGCTCCTATCACCATCAGAGCACAGCTCCTGTCTTCACTGCATGCTAAGCATGGAGGTAAGCAATCATAGGGTCAGTTCACCTGTGGTAGCCTAATCTGCAATAGCATGACTACAGTACAGTGCTGCCATGCCCCTTTCTTGGTGTATCTGATCGTGACAAGGAATACAACTATCTGGGCACACATCCCAAAGTCCAGCTCAAAGCTGCACCAAGATTCTCATATGTTTGTATAGTAACATGGCTGCATGTTGAGACATGGCCTTGTTACGGGGCATTGCTCTGCTGTATCAAGCACTGAAGAAGGGTAAAGCCAGAAAAACTGAAAGCAGGCACCTGAGCAGAGTGGAAGATGAATCTGAGCAGAGGCAGATTGATAATGCACCTGTGGTCAGTGAGTTTATGGGATGGGATTAGAAGACCATCATGTCTTGATTGTTGTGACTGCCCATGACTATGTCTTCACTCCATCTAACCTCAGGGGAACAAAACACATTAACAGCTACCTTGGGAGTCTGCCCTATTGCACTGTGTAGCACAGAGGCATGTAGATGTGTCAAGATGCAGCATGTTAAAGAAAAAACCCACAATTTAGCATGAGTTAAATCCGCAGTGAAGACAAGTCCATAGTCTAAAAACAATGTGTGGGAGCCACATCTTCATCCCATCCCCAGCTGTCCTGTCTCCCCTCTTCAGGAGCTCTAAAGGTGTTCAGGGAGAGCTCCATTTCCTGGGACCTTTGGGAAAGAGAGGCCAAGAAAAGTGACTCACTTATTTTAGAACTTGACACTAAAATTGCTGTTACTTCCATACCCAATATTCAGTGCTCTGCAATAAGTCCAAATTACAAAGTTATTTGTAGACGCCAATATGAACTTGAGCTGCAGTACATCTTGATTTCTGTTTTGAATGTAATACTTCCAATATAGTCCATGTCTTATGTTTGGGTTTCAGTTTTCTAGAGGACCGCTTGCAGAGTTACCCTTGACATATGAAATCATGCCAAAATGTGAATTCCGAGTACATTTCTAAGATTATTTACTGACTGGTAGACAAAATATTGGATCATGTGACAAACACTGAAGCAAAAGTACTGTGGTATATTTTAAAATATGAAAATCTTTGTTGCATTTTTTTCTCGGTTTCTGATTATTCTCTCAAATGTTTAAATGGATTTTGAGACATTTGTAAATAAGGCTAACATGGTAACATGGGGCTCTATTATAATTAAATTGTCATGGAGGATATAACTCCAGCTGAGAATATTAAAAGTTAACATTCTGTTTCACTGAAATGACTGTTTTTACCTTTTAGTAATGGAGTAGGAAAAAAATGATGGAGCATCAATCATCACACAGCCAATAAGACTTAGGACATCAGTTGATTGCTTGGTGGACATCATCTGGAACTGACAAATTCTAGGGTTTGTGGTCATTGACTGAGGAGGATGTGAAGAAGGGAGTGAGTGTTTCTGGTCTTTACATGGAAGGGGTGGATCAGGATTGGGCCAGGAAGGTTGAAGGGCTTATCTATACAGCAAGTAGCTGCATGGTAAACTAGGATGTGAATCTAGAGTGCACCAGCTGAATTACTGCACAAAGACTAGCTAGGTCTATACTGCACAGTTATTTTGGAATAAGCTATTCCGGAATAGTTATTCTGAAATAGCTTATTTTGAAATAGCATGTCTACACTGCAGGGAAGCCTCAAAATTAGTCCAAGGCAGGCTTCCCTAAAGTAGACATGCTATCTCAATTTAGAGCCTAAGAGGATGGCCCTGGTGAGGGGCTATTTCAAAATAGCAGAATTAGAGCATCTACATACGCCTTATTTCAAAATAGCTATTTTGGAATAGGCATTATTCTTCATAGAATGAGGTTTACAGAAGTCAGAATAAGCCATCTGTTATTCTGAAATTATTTTGAGATAACGGAATTGCTACGTAGACATACCCCGAGAGTCCGAGAGTGTGGCATGACTTACTATGTTTTCAAGAAGTAATACAGCAAACTCCACTGTGAGATTTTCAGTGTGCTGTAGCAGTGTCCTCATAGGACGGACATTACTGCTCTACAAGCTTCTGCACTTAGAATCACACCCTGGCTTGACAGCAGTAAAACGCTGTGCAGACAAGTCCAAGTCCTGACCAGACAGCCTGCTTGTCTACCTCTGATACCCATATATTTATAGCTACTAAACTTGTAAATTGAGTGTGTATAGTATATCTTCATACACAATATGCTGTGATATGTGCTTGTTCAGCCAAGCTCAGATCCGGGGTCTTAAATGTCCAGCTGGTATTTAAATACGTTCTGCTAGGCATTTATGGATTATATTAGACCAGGTGGCAACTGCTGAAGATCAAACTAGGTTTTATTTTGATTCAACAACTTCCTGTGTTGCATGGCAAGGAAAACATTTATCACAGAAATCCTGGTGAATATGAATACATTTTCCTCCACCAAAACAAATATTTTCTTTCATTTCATCTCAGCTAGACATATGGAACAGACAGACAACTAGTCCTCACTGAAATGGGAAAGTTCAGTAGCTCAAAAAAGTTTGTTGACTTTCTCATTTGCAAAGAAATTAACAAAAAAAAAAAATGTCCAGTGAAATCAATAAAGCGTCATGTGCGCAAGGAACACAGATGTAGGGTAGTTTGGAAACTCAATAAAACCAGTTACTCTTGACCTGGTCCATCAGTATTTCTCCTTATATGTCGAATAGGTGATTTCAAGTCTGCAGTGAGGAATAGGAATGGTTTATCAGCAGCTCAATTATCTTATTACTGTAACAGCAACAAGAGAGGTTGGCAATTGCTGATCTTACTTATTATTGATACAAAGGTGTCTACTTTGAAAGTTGTGCATTGTTTAAAATTCAGTAAACGCACGTACATCAGTGTATGAATTTTCACTGTATTATGTTATTTAATATAAAAAATGGTGTTCATCAGAAATAAATATTTCTATCATAGATATTTGTCTATAGTCAAGTGTTTACTTGCTACTATACCTGTAAAACTTAAGGACAGAAATTAGATGGGCTATCAGATTACAATCAAATCTAGGAAGGTGATTTTTGCAGTTAGGATTCCTTCTAGTCGGATCTGGTCGAGAAGAAATACCTTCAACATTAGTTAACTATAGATAACTGTGCACTTCTCCAAAACATTATGAAGCTATTAATTTTAAATGGGTTATGGAAAATGTATTTACTGTCAATTCTACTCACTGAAAATGCTGGCTACCGAGAGACATCAGCTCACTCCTGTATTCAATGTGGATGTCACGCTAAAAACAATCAAATTTTTCAAAATTAAACAAATCTCGAAGTATTTTGTTCCATTAAGGTCTCTCTGCAGTTATCACTCTAAGAACATTGGACAGCATTTGTACTTCTATATGCACAATATGTTAACACAGTGCATGGGCGCTAATGCAGAACCCTGTATGGTACCAATATGTAAAATGCAGCAAGAAATGTAGGTGGTCAAAAAAAACCCTAATCAGCTCAAGAGGCTCCACAGCTTGAAAACAAAGACTTCTGAACAGACCCCATCAAGAGGAAATTTGGACTATAAGGCTACGTGTACACTGCAACACTATTGGAGTATCCCGAAATTGCTATCCTGCGCCTTCACAGCAAGCCTGTTATTTCAAAATATAACAGGCTCACTATTCCAACATCCCTGTAAACCTCATTCCATGAGGAGTAAGGGATATTTCAGAATAGCAGATTATTACAAAATAAGCTATTTCAAAATAAGATCAAGTAAGATACACATTTTGCATAGCTCAAATTGCGTATCTTATTTCAAGCTCTTGTGCAGTGTAAATGCACCCTTAGAGTCTAGTTATACATAGCTGGAAGCAAGTTATCAAATTAAGGGAGACCATTCTTTGGGTGGAGTGGGCTGTTAACCAAATTTTTCTGCATTCATTTATTATAAATAGCCTTAAAGTAGATTGGCCACTAGTACAGTTACATGTTGCGTCTTAAATGGACGCAATTGTAAAAGTATGTGCGTCTGATATTTTTAAGAACTCACTGAATAAATTTGCCAATTTTATTTGCATTTAATAATCAACTGAGTTAGTCATGAAAAGCTTGTACGGGTTGAACCTCCCAAATCCGGGAATCTGGTTCAGCAACATCTGTGCTGATGGACCAGAATCCCAAAGGTGGGAGCAATTCAGAGGTTGGGGAGCCCTGACTGGGCCAGGTGGCATCTCGGTAGTCCTCCCTGCCTTGGCCTGGGAACCTCCAGAATTAGCTGGGGAGCCCTATCCCTGGCTGGGGAACCCCTGACATTAGTGGGGCCAGGCAGTGCTTAGGAGCTCCTGCCCAAACCAAGCAACCCCCAATATCAGCTGGGCCACATGACTGGGGAGTCCCGGTCCCAGCCGGGGAATTCCCGGCTGCAGCTGGGCTGCTGGCGGCCAGGTGGCTATGGCCAGGAACCCCGAGAACATCACACTGGCTGCAGGGACGAGGTAACCATGTAGGGGAATCCCCTGGCTGAAGCGGGGCTAGCAGAGGCAGGTAACCAGAATCCCCAGTGGACTGGGGTGGCCCTAGCAGCGGGGCGGTGTGGCTGGGCAGCCCTAGCTGGGGAACCCCTGGTGCAGCAGGAACACTGAGGAACACCCTATGGCAGCAGGGCTGGCAACAGCCAAGCAGTCCCTACCAAGAAAATCAGGAGACTTTGGGGCAGCAGGGAGAAGTGCCTGTGCCAGAGCCCGAGAGTGGGGCAGTGAGCAGGGGAGCATTGACTTTCCCTGGTCAGCAAACTCCCTGGTTCAGGACAGATCAGGTCCTGAGGGTGCCGGACCAGAGAAGTCCAATCTATGTTTGTTTAATGATGATGAAATCTAAGATTGCTTATTCCATGGCTTTATTCTTTTCTCAAACATGTTTAATTTCAAGTGATCAGAAAAAGTGTTTTCTTTGCATCTTTTAGCCAGGTCTGCAGTAAACACTGTAGAAATTACTGCCTCAAACAAGAGCTATGGGGGTGTATTTTTGTAGTCGTCCAGAGCATTTGCAGCTCCCGTTAACTTTAGCTAGACTTGTGAGAGTAGTGAAAATCAAGTTCCAGATAATTTTGTAAGTACTTATAGTTTATAGTGTTGTTGTAGCCATGTTTTCCTAGAATATTAGAAATACAAAGTTGGTGTTGAAATATCTTTTATTGACCAACTTCTGCTGGTGAGAGACACAGCACAGAGAGTTTTGTATTAGCTTGAAAACTCTCTCACTCCAACAGAAATTGGTCCCAAAAAAAAGATATTCCCCCTCACCCACCTTGTGTCTCTAATATTTTACACTCATGTAAAGAAGATAGGATTCCATTATTTGGATTTAGGAAAAAGAAAGACAGTAATATTGGGATACACAGCCAGAACTCATGAGATGCTGGTGGATGAGCTGATGGAAAAAATATCAGTGAAAAATAAAATTAGATGAAAAGAAGAATCAATTAGAAAACTCCATCAGGGCACTTGGTGAACTTGGGTCAAAGACAAGGAAGACTTCTTTTCAATGGGAATGACAACATTCCACACACACACTCCCAGTCTATTTAAACTAGTTGTTCTACAAATAGAAAGACAACTGCCTACCACAGACAGAACGGCATCAATAGTTCTATTTTCTCATCTATTTTCTCAGAAGACCCCTCTCAAGGAACAAACTCTGCTACCGAAAGGGATGCTTAGCTGCTCAATACATCATGGTTGAGGGAAAGACTATATTTCCTAGGCATTATTCATTCTACAGCCTTCATCCACATACATTTAAATAAGGAAACAGCATACACTACCATTGCCAAACAAAGCATTTAAAGACATTCCCCTTGCTTTAGTCAGAGCGCAAGGCAGCAGAAGAAACAGGGAGAAGAGGGCAGAGGACACATTATGTAAACCATGATCCTAAGCCACTTACTCCCTCCATTACATGTTAATATTTCCCCATTTGGGGACTGTGAAACTTCACGTATTTACACCACAATGTTTCCTCCAAATCAATATCAGGTCAGGGAGAAGGTTGCAGGGCAGAGTTGGTCTTGTTACAAAATGGCCAAGAGGATGGTCTCTCAGGTGCTGAGGGTCCACTGAGCTGTGTTTGCTCTACATTATCTCATGGCAGCACAACACCCTCAGGAACTTCACTGCCATTAAGTTCCTGATAATAAGTGTATCATACCCCACACCCAAGGAGTTGGCAGATGCAGAGGAGTTAACAGGAGTAATTATTGGCCTGATTTCTGAATGGAAATCCATTCATGTCCCAAGGATCCAGAGATTCTGTCTACTCCCTCTCAGCCTGAGCCATGGAACTCTTACTCGGAAGATGGGTTTCCTTTGTGTCAGAAGGTAGGAGGCCAGTGCTATTAAACCACTGGTCTCCCTTTTGTGAAATTAGCCTCTTCTGTGTCACAGTTCATGCTCTTTAAATCAGTGCTGCAGAGAGAAACAAATAGCAGAGAGAGCAAACAGTTTGGGTGTGTTTAGAGTTCAGAGTTTTTTCGAAAAAAGTGGCTTTTTTTTTCGAAAAAACTTTACCTGCATCTAGACTGCTGCTGTGATCTTTTGAAATTAAATCAAAAGAACATGGCAGTTGTTTCAACTGTGGAAAACCTCATTTTATGAGGAATAACGCCTTTTTTCGAAAGTGCTCTTTCGAAAAAAGGTGTTATTGAATGCAAACAGTGTTTTTTTGAAAGAGAGCATCCAGACTGCTTGGGTGCTCTCTTTCGAAAAAACGGCTCTCTTTTTTGAAAATACTGGTTGCTGTCTAGATGATCTCTTTTGAAAGAAGCTTTTTCGAAAGATTCTTTTGAAAAAGCCTCTTTTGAAAGAGGCTTGTAGTCTAGACATAGCCTTTATGTTTAGACTTAAGTGTCAACTGGGTTACAAGATACAGCTTAATTTGAAAGGATATAAATGCATGTCCTCTGCTGATCTCTTAGCCAGAGAGGATATAGCTGCGATACAGGGAAAAGTGAAGGAACATTAGGAAAAAGCAAGTTTAACATGTAAATAAAATTATTGTACAGAATTTAAAAAAAATACTCATTTAACTTAAGTTTAAAAATTTACTTCAGGACTTAACCACAGTTCTTCAAGAGAACAAATGTATACTATCCTGGACTTTGTAACCCCTGTGCAAATTACCTAATTCACACTTATATTATGGTTCCACTTACAAAATGCCAAAAAATCACTGAAAGGTGTTTTTCTAAATGGTTAAAGAATTGCCATATATTGTTACACAGTCCAACAGGCTACTTCTAGCCGTCTATAAAAACCTACTGATGTACACAGTCCCTAACACACACTATTCATGTCTATAATTTGCTTATAACATTTATTATTTATGAATCCATTATAAACTATTTATAAATGGAACCTTAATATGAAGACCAATTAACTTCATACTACATTAGCCCAATATTCTAGGGCACGTAAACTTTCACATTTTTATTTAAAATCTGGGAGAGTCTTTAACCAATGAAGCTACAACTACCTACAGTTGTTAGCAGCAGACACTAAAGGCAAAGCAAAAGAAGTGGGGGAGACCATATGACACAACATATGCTATTCAAAAAAATTGCTGTGACTTGTGTTATAATTAACACTGCTACTATGGCAACAATATCAGGAAATGAGAGTCAGATGAAATTCAAGACACAATTTTCTCTTCTTTTTAGAAAAAAAAATATAAATAAAGCATAAAATAGTAAGGTAAGTTCAACAACCCACCAGTGTTGTCATCAGAAGGAGACAGATGACTATTTGTGGGGTCCAGCCTCTAACTCCTTAGCTTACCTCAATACCATCATCAATATACTGGGAAAGCCCTATTGAGAGCTTCATATATAGGGAACAGTAAGCATTACACGGAGATCTCAGTTTTTCCAATCTAGCATTTCCCTCTCTGAATCCATGCCTCAACTTTTTCAATCACATCGCCTGCCTTTTATGGAATTCAAGTAGGCAATGCAATGTTTAACAAAGTTCATGTAGGACTTATAATCCTCCTTCATTTTCAAAGTCTCTGTTTTCATCCTCATTCTCTTCAACATGGTTTTCATTCTTCTCTGTCTTCTCTTCCTCCTCCTCATCTTCAAAAGTCTGTTCTTTTAAGGTAGTAAAAGTAAGTGATCTGGCAGCAACCTGTGCAGCCAGACCTGATGTGAAGTTGAAATCTGTTGATCTATGGAGCTGAGCCAGCCTTTGCTTGATGGAGGACTGTAATGTGTCCCTGAGAGGGGGCTGCAAAATCTCCATTCCATCCACACCAGTTTTTTCCAGTTCATCTCCGTCACCCTCACATTGGTAACATGTATTTTTTAGAGACATTGGAGATCCACCTGCATCAGCAGCAATGTCTTTGTTTTCACCCTTCATAGGCTCTTCATATAAATATTCAGAATTGCTTTTTTCACTCACAGTGACTGGACTAGTGTCCTTCCGATCTGAATGATCATTAGCTTGGTTACTGTCCTGAGCGGATTCCAAATTATGTATGGGTTCCACTGCTTCTACAGAGGACAAGGGCTTCACTGCAGCTTAAAAAAGGGAAAAAAAGGGGAAAATGACTAAAAAAAATAACATCCCATACATAATTCAGCTCTGTGTCTTAAGAGATGGAAATGAAAGTTAAAATGGGAAAAATAAAAGTATATTTTCTGACCAGAATGCTGAAAATGTAAGGTAATGACTACTAGATCTACATAGTCTTTAAAACTCATTAGACATAAGTAAAAATACTATTACACAGAGCTTATGTATTTTATGGAAATTACAAGTAAAATCAGTTGCTGCATCTTACACTAACTGAACTATCTTTCTTTAAATAACATGTATCTAATTTAGTAAAGATAACTGGAACATAATAAAAATGTCTTGTAGGTTTTACACATCACAACATATAAATAATATATGTATATATACAATAGGAATACGTTGTCCTCACAAATAAAGAGTGGTTTAATTTAGCCTCTTGATGTTAGTGGTAGTAGCGAGTCCCATTGCCAGCAACGGGATGCTTGCCAGGAAGTCTCTCCTCTCAGTGTTAGGGGTTAGTACAACACGATACAATTGCTTCTTGAAGAACAGACGTTTTTCTTTATAGCAAAACGATACAGTGTCCATTTCCAAAAAAAAGATCCCTAAACTGCAGTAGCTCCTTTAGAATAGCAGCACGAACATATATAAGAGCAGCAACAGCAGGTTCCCATGTGGCATTCCCTTTCTAATTCCATTCTGACTTTACCCCTGTAAGCAGAGATGAAAATAACTCTGGAAAATACACAAAAGTTTTTTGGGAAACAACATTACTGCATTAAGTTTTTTCCATTGCATCCTATTTTAGTAATATTTATTTTCACTAACTGAACATGGGAGTGTTTTGATGGTTGTCATATTAGTAACTGCTTTAATTAACATACAGCTTCAGGATTCAATATTTTTTTAAACCACATATCAAAATTCAACAACAGTAGACCAATTTGGCCTCACTTGCTAATTGTTCTTCTAATGGAGTGGCCTTTGCACTATTCTGAAGCGAATATCTGTGTATGTCTACCAACTTGCTTCTGGAGGCAAGAATATGCAAATTTCTCTGTCCATTCCAGCCCTTTAAGAGCCAGTTTTGGTGCCTACATGGCCAAAGGAGACTTGTGATGATGGAGAATAATGGAAAGATAACTGCGGAGGAGCAAAATCCCAAGTGGTAGAAGGCCAAATGCCAGGGACAGATCCAGGGTGGGATAAACCTTTTGTGAGCCCAGTGCCAAATGTATTTGTGGGCCCACATTGGGAAGGATTGTAAAAGACAGGAGACTGACAAAGAAGTTGCCTTTGACACAGCACACAGCTTCATGGGTTTTGTTTTCAAAACGTATGAGTGTAAGCTATATATGGAGGTGGCTGCCAATAGGGTACCAAGAATGGCAGCCCTAGGGCAAAAACAATGGACAGAAGCAAACAGAGTTATAAAGGAAAAACAAAACAAAATAAAGCAGAGTGGGTAAAACCAGCTAACAAGAGCCACAGCAGTCAAAGCACCAACCATGTGCTGCTCCCACTTCAATGCAACACAGTCACACTCTCTCACTCTTCAAGTTTCTCATAGGAACTGCCAGGAAATGAATCATATTTTTGTAAAAATCAAAATATGAAAACTATTGCATTTTATTTACAGCATCATTATTCATATTAGGCTAGTTTGGCCTTCCCTACAGACAGAGAGAAGCAAAGACTAGGATCAGATCAATCATGCTCCAAAAAGACCGGGCCAATACCCCCAAAATTGAACCAAATCTACAACTCTTCCCAGAACACCCTCCCCGGGGCTGGACCAGACCCACATCTCATCCTAGACCAAAACCCCAAACGGAATCAGACCTCCTTCCCATCCAAGCTAGATCAGACCCCTCTATGATCTGAATCCTCTTGACTCGTATCTCTGTACTGCCTACCAGAACAGGGCTCACGCTAAACCTCTGTTCCCAAAACAGACCCCTTCCACAATCCTCAGCTGGACAGCCCTTGAAAACTCCCCTTGAGAGCCACTCCTGCTGTAGATCCATCCTTGTTCTCTGAAGCAAACAGAGCAAGACCTCACCTGGCTGCAACGTGGCCAGATGCAGCTCAGACCACTGCTTCCTCCACCAACTCATCCCTGCTGCTCACAGGGGCTGTGACTCCACTCGCCTGAGGTCTGGCTGCTCCCTTGTTGGCCTCCAGCTCATCCGATGCTGGCAGGGGCAGTGCAGTGGGGGGGACCATGGTAAGCATCTGAGGTACCAGAGCTCATCATGCATCCCACCTCCCAACTGATCCAAGGAAGGGGCTGCATCCCCCGCATGGGATAGAGAGGACGTAGGGATGTAGAGTGTGTGAAGAGACCAGGGCTAGGAGGGGACTAAGCCACAGCAGCAACTCCATCGGATTATTCCCCAGGGAGCCATGACCCAGAGAGAGTAATGAAGGGCCTGCAGAGCATGAGTCAAGATGCCCTACTCCCACTGCTACTGGCCACAGTGCTGCAGACCCTGGGGGTGGATTTTTCCTCTTTGACAAACCCTT